ATCAAATAATTTTTATTGTCCTATTTCACGTTACGTCACGTTATACCAATTATGACGTTCCGTTCACAATTTTTTTGTGAAACAAAGCCATACTGCAAACTCTCTTAAAGAAAATGTAAAATAGATATCCAAAAAAGGAAAACAGTTCCATAAAGCTTGAAGTCTATTCTATCTTTTATCGAAATTTCATTAATTTTTTGGATGAGGCATTTTTTTACCATTCGTGGGCTTAACTCTTTCAAGTTGTAGTCAATCAAATTTTTGGATATATACATGAATATATATATATAAACCATTGTTTACACATTGCATAATAGAGAATGACCTGTCACACATCTTGAATCATTTTTTTTTAAAGAAGTAGTCTCATAATTGCAAAGGTATTTGCAAACATATTGATTAATGTTAGGACGCTAAGTTTTATTTGCAAAGGCAGTTGCAGATATAAGAGAATTTCTTTCAAAAAAAAATGAATCAGTGCTTATTTTTTTTTCTAACTCCTTGACTTGTTTTGCAAATTTGATTTCTTTTTTAACTTACATTAATTATCTCTAACCTTAATAACAATGAATTTAAATGATTTCAAATTTTGATTTTCGCTTATGACATTCCTCTTGCATGGTATTTATTGAATGGCAGTCACCACAGTAAAATGTATTGCAAATGTGTCGGATAAAAGAGGTTCCACTGTAATAGGTTTGACAATAAAGTAATCTACATCCTAATTCTCCGTCCAGACATCTTCATTTATTAGTGTGGATAAGAACGAAATATTTCTAGTTTCAAATTTATTACAACACATATAAAGTACATCTTTTACAGAATACATTCAGTAGAACAAGATCACAATGATTTATTGCTTTACATAATCCTTCATCCCCTGAAAACATATTTGTTTAGTCACTTGATGTCAAACAATCTTATAAAAAAAGAACCCCGTGATAAATGTTAAATTTAGAACTGTCTCTTGAATCAAAATGGATTCGTCTGATTGATGGACGATCTTTCGTCTGTTAAGAAAAAATAGAATTAATGTTTCACAGAAATCAGAACATATTTTACTTTGAAAATCCTCTTATAACCTCTTGAAATTTTCACAGTAATACAAAAAAAAAACTGTTGCATTATGATTTAATGATGTTTACCTAGTTCCGTCTGATCATCATGGTGGTCCCCTTCACTGATGTCCCGTACTGTACTGTGGGAGACCATGGGTAGGACCAGCGTGCCGGGGACCATTGACCGTTAAGGAAGGCGTCATGACAGGCGTTGAACCACCACCCTCCTCTTTTGTTACTGTCAAAAGCACAGTTATATCCAGCTTTGTCGTTATCTCTGTCCGGGGTACTGAAGGACATCCCAGACAGATCGTGGCTTCTCATGCTGTCTCCTGAAATACAATATTATAACAATATAAAAAAACACAACAGTAATAACCAGTCAATCTGACATTGCCTTATCATGCTGTCTCCTGAAATACAATATTATAACAATATAAAGAGACACAACAGTCATCTCCAGTCAATCTGAGATTGCCTTCTCATGTTGTCTCCTGAAGTACAATATTATTTAAGAAATAAGGTATCATTTTTTGAGTTTTATTGGGATGTAAAACGGGTTGGTCACGTGATCAAATCTCATAAAGCCCGAAGGGCTTTATGGAAGATTTGATCATGTGCCAACCCGTTTTACATCCCAATAAAACTCAAAAAATGATACCTTATTACTTATATTTACATTTATGACTATTTATTACAAATAGTAACGTACTAACTAAAGTTTGAAACCCAAAACGTTATTTTTTCAAAACTCAACGGATTGTGTTTATAACGTCGATCGCTTATGACGTCACTATTAAGCCACGTAGATCGATTGTGACTAAACAATCAATTTATGGTCACATGACCAACTTGTTTTACGGAGATGTAAAAACTTCTTGTTTAAATAGTTTTATATAAGGAAAAACATTCTCAAATGTAAATATAACAATATAAAAAGATACAACAGTCATCTCCAGTCAATCTGACATTGCCTTCTCATGCTGTCTCCTGAAATACAATAATATAAAAAGATACAACAGTCATCTCCAGTCAATCTGTCATTATCTTCTCATGCTGTCACCTAAAATACAATATTATAAAAAGATACAACAGTCATCTCCAGTCAATCTGACATTATCTTCTCATGCTGTCACCTAAAATACAATATTATAAAAAGATACAACAGTCATCTCCAGTCAATCTGTCATTATCTTCTCATGCTGTCACCTAAAATACAATATTATACTAAGTTACTACAGTCATCTCCAGTCAATCTGTCATTATCTTCTCATGCTGTCACCTAAAATACAATATTATAAAAAGATACAACAGTCATCTCCAGTCAATCTGTCATTATCTTCTCATGCTGTCACCTAAAATACAATATTATAAAAAGATACAACAGTCATCTCCAGTCAATCTGACATTATCTTCTCATGCTGTCACCTAAAATACAATATTATAAAAAGATACAACAGTCATCTCCAGTCAATCTGTCATTATCTTCTCATGCTGTCACCTAAAATACAATATTATAACAATATAAATAGACACAACAGTCATTTCCAGTCAATCTGTCATTATCTTCTCATGCTGTCACCTAAAATACAATATTATAAAAAGATACAACAGTCATCTCCAGTCAATCTGTCATTATCTTCTCATGCTGTCACCTAAAATACAATATTATAAAAAGATACAACAGTCATCTCCAGTCAATCTGTCATTATCTTCTCATGCTGTCACCTAAAATACAATATTATAAAAAGATACAACAGTCATCTCCAGTCAATCTGACATTATCTTCTCATGCTGTCACCTAAAATACAATATTATAAAAAGATACAACAGTCATCTCCAGTCAATCTATCATTATCTTCTCATGCTGTCACCTAAAATACAATATTATAAAAAGATACAACAGTCATCTCCAGTCAATCTGTCATTATCTTCTCATGTTGTCACCTAAAATACAATATTATAAAAAAATACAACAGTCATCTCCAGTCAATCTGTCATTATCTTCTCATGCTGTCACCTAAAATACAATATTATAAAAAGATACAACAGTCATCTCCAGTCAATCTGACATTATCTTCTCATGCTGTCTCCTGAAATACAATATTATAACAATATAAATAGACACAACAGTCATCTCCAGTCAATCTGACATTGCCCTCTCATGCTGTCTCCTGAAATACAATATTATAACAATATAAATAGACACAACAGTCATCTCCTGTCAATCTGACATTATCTCTGTCTCGGGTAGAGAATGATCCAAGACAGATCTGTGGTAAAATAACCAGTGTCTAACGTAGAGTCACCTGGAAAATCAAACAAAAGCCATTACAGAGTATATGGATTTATATATCGTCAATCTAATTGTCAATAATGACACTGAGGTACTTCTAAGATAGACGGCACTAGGTGCTGGAAAGAGTGATAATATTAATTTAGTTCAGTCCTAGAATTCCCAATATCTATCATACTGGCACCTGCAGAATTAGAGAAAATATATAACAGAGATAATAATTAATAATTTACATCACATTAATCTTAATACTGAAGTAAGTCTAAGATACACAGTTTAATGTGTTGTTTCTTGTATAGAGAGATAAAAAAAAATACAAGCCAACAAAACACTGCGGTATTCATATAGCATCCTATATAGCGGTGGTTGCAAAGATCACTGAAAATATCACAAAACATGAATAAATAAAATATTCGTATATGTCAGAGACCGTGCCTTTAAAAATATATAAAATACAATACGAGGTAAATCATTCAAAATTTTAACGATATAAGAAATAGTTTAACTGTAAATGTTTTAAAATATTAGATTTTCATTAGATAAAGCATATGTATTGTTAATGTGAAAACCATTGAGATGTTTTAAATATGGCTTTTTAATTTTTTTTTTCAATTTAAATGTATCTGATCAAATACTTTTTTCTACTTAGTATCACTTGATATTTAAGCTTAATGACGCTCTGTAAAAGTCATTCCGTAGTAGTAAAATGTTATTTTCAAATTTTAGCTTTCTGGCTATAAAAAATTCAATGTTTGCAGAATTAGAGAATTGAACATGCAGATGATATTCTGAAATTTTAAACATACTTAGTGTGCGCTGAATCAAAAAGAATACCAGAAAAAAACGTATCTTTTTTCAAAAACTTAATAATAATTCAATACAAACATGTATTTTTATAATAAAATGCGTAATTTAAATCTAACTTTAAGAACTTAACGTAGATACACTAACCTAAAGTTCCCGAGGCAGGTCCTGCAAGAAAGAGTTGATATTCTCCAGCTTCATTGGAGACAGAGAATCCATCGTACATTTCATAAAGTGTTGTACCATTCTGTAGAGTTATTGTCACATACAGGGATGAGGTGTTTTCTTTTGTTAATTGATCGATTACGTCATTTCCTGTATCAAGAATTCCATTGATTCTTATTTGAATTTAATCATACCTTATTAAGTAATCAAATTACTTTCCTGTTTTAAGATATATTCAAAATCAATAGCTAAGTGTATTACAATAATATTGTTTCGTAAAAATAGCCCAAGGGAAAATAATATAACAATCTAAAGATTTTTGTAAAATGCATTGTTTAAAACTGTATCAGACTATATGCCCATTGTACAGTATTTAAATGCATGTTATATAACTACGTAGATACAGATATCTATAATCTGCTCCTATATCATGCTTTATTTAGATTTACGAGGGTTGTCCGGGAAAATCATGGACAAAGTGTTTCTTTTTGAAAATAATGGCACACTAAGCTGAAATTTTCAGCAAATGTTTATTTATCACGCTGAAGTGCATCAAAATTTTTTGATAAAATTATTGACAGAAATCAAGATTTTATTATTCTTGGATGTGTACGGGTTCGGTCCTACGGTTCACGGTAAAAAAAAAAACAACAAAGGTTATATTAGAGAATACATGAGTATTGATTCGGAATATTAGATTTAAACACATAAGATTGTGACGAAAATTATCCTTATTCGCTTCCACAATTTATTTTGTCGTCTTTTAAAAAATTTCAGGGCATTTGGTTATTTTATTTTTTTTTTGCACTTTCCTGAGCCTTCGAAATTTGAAACTGGTAAACACAACACACGAAAAAAAGTTACGTTTGATGACGCTACGGCGCAGTTTGGTTTGATTTAGATGGTGTGATAACATCTTAAGAATCTTTAAATGAAAAAAGAAGAACAGAATTTCAAAATAAAAATCCCTAGATCTTTAGTAAAGAAATGTAATGGGGCTTTTCATAGAGAAGTCGTTCTTGATCGAGTCCCCATGTAGTACAAAACATACGGACTGACTACTACTGTAAGAACAAAAGACGCTGTCACTGTTGACCGTCAATATAAGTTATGTAAATTATGGGTGTGTAAATGACACAGACTTGTACGTATGTATATTTTTCATTTAGCTCAAGCGCGCTTAATGAAATATGCCTACGTGACAATTCTGTGTGATTCACACACCCATAATTCACACAAAATTTAAAAGCATAAGGACTTTCAAAAACTAAAGAACTTTCAAATACGGAAGTCTTGAATTTCCATTCTTGTTTGTCTTATTTTTCATTTATTTTGATAAAAACTCGTGAATGCATTTTTTATTAACCATTGGACTACTTAAAACAAGACCAAAGCAAGTAGAGTATTGTTTATATTACCCGTACATCAATTTATTTAATTTATTTTTTAACTGCTTTCAAAATTCAAATGTTTATTTATATCTTGATTATACTTTTAACCAATTAAAGACCCGGTATTGACTCATATTTACCAATCCAAACTTCTTGTTCCGGTTTGCCAAAACCATTTTTGTAGTCTGTCCAGTTCCTGTCAAAGCTCACGGACCCATTGAATCGTTTTTGGATTGCCTTGGAAAGATATATTCACATTTATTAGACTAGTTTGGATTGTCATGGAAAGATGTATGTATATTTATTAGGCTAGTTTGGATTGTCATGAAAGATATTTGTACATTTATTAGGCTAGTTTGGTTTGTCATGGAAAGATCTTTGTACATTTATTAGGCTAGTTTGGTTTGCCTTGGAAGGATGTATGTACATTTATTACGCTAGTTTGGATTGCATTGGAAGGATGTTTGTACATTTATTAGGCTAGATTGCTTGCTGTTTAAATTAATTAGGTTATTATTGTGAGGGTCAGGTGTACAATTTATAGACATGGTAGCATTGTGATAAAAAAGATAAGGAGCAGTGATCGACTTTAAAAAAAAGAAGCAACCAATCCAAATCTGTGAACAGGACATAGATGAAACCCACATACACCACACACACCCTCTCACATACACCAAACACACCCTCTCACATACACCACACTCACCCTCGAACACACATACATAAACCAAAAAAAATTCCAGCGGTGGGATCAGGTCCAATCATTAAAAAGGGGGCCGTGAGCCTGTGTAAAGAGTAGAAAGACGGAATATTCTCTAGTCTAATTTAGTATACAGCGATCTAACAATTAATGTGATACAGATAGACGGATCATTCTCTAGTCTAATTTAGTATACAGCGATCTAATAATTGATATGATACAGATAGACGGATCATTCTCTAGTCTAATTTAGTATACAGAGATCTAACAATTGATATGATACAGATAGACGGATCATTCTCTAGTCTAATTTAGTATACAACGATCTAACAATTGATATGATACAGATAGACGGATCATTCTCTAGTTTAATTTAGTATACAGCGATCTAATAATTGATATGATACAGATAGACGGATCATTCTCTAGTCTAATTTAGTATACAGCGATCTTACAATTGATATGATACAGATAGACGGATCATTCTCTAGTCTAATTTAGTATACAGCGATCTAACAATTGATATGAAAGAGACAGCGAAAATTCGACCCGTTGATGGATCATTTTTCGAAATAATGACTTAAAATGAGGTTTTATAATCCCTTTTAGTAAAAACATTCTTTATTATTCTGTCTTAGCTTAAAAATTAATTTTGATCTTCCTCTTGCTTATTGCATAAGTTGAGGAGATGCTTACACAAGATGCAGGTGATAGCTGAATATTAATTAATACAAGAGGTAAAACTAAGGTGGAAAACTATATCAATTTCCTGGAAGAGACACAATGTAAATATCACAATATCATCTCAATGCATCATAAAACCCGGATTTAAAACTTAAGATTCATTAAAACTCACCGTCCACCCGCCGCCCATTATATCAATGTTACAGTGAACTTTTACCGGAATGGACTTTATCCCGTATGGGTAAATATCGTACACGTCCGATTTATCATAACCATTGTCACGAAGATCCTTGCAATCTGAAGGGGGAGCTAAAGAACAAAAGTGAGAATTATATAGGATTAGTACTTATATGATATAAAAGAGGAATAAAAAACTAAAATTCAGTATTACATAAGATAAGGATTATAATATATAAAGGGAAAACTAAAGAACAAACATGAGAATTATATTGGATTAGGACTTATAATATATAATGAGGAACTAAAGAACAATTGTGAGAAATATAGTAGTATGACATAATATAAAGGATAAACTTAAATCAAAACTAAGAATTATTCAGGATTTTGATTTAGACAATCTGAAAGAAGAACTCAAATCAAAACTAAGAATTATACTGTATAAGTAGAATTTTTAGCAAGGATTTAATTTTGGCATAATTAGCGAGGGTGCAGATATCGCTTAAATTGAATATCGCTAAAAATTAATTGCGTATTATTTGTAATAGCTTCTTCAGTTAGCATTTTAAAATCGCTAAAATTACTTCTCGCTAAAAATAAAATACAAGATTTTAAATAGAAATCGCTAAATTTGCGTCTCGCTAAAATTTCCACTTATACGGTATAAGATTAAGACCTACTCAATAAATAGAATAGTTATCTTCACAATTCAACGCTTGAAACGACTCATAAGAATAAACAATCAGAAATAGGTAAGATAAAACGGCTACAAATGTAAGATTGAAAAAAAAAATAAAATAAAATCTAATACATACATTCCGGAAAATAATACCGCCATCCGTTTTCGTCCGACATTCCGGAAGTGAAGGCCTTCTTGTGGGTCCGGCACTTCTTCAGCGTAGGATTGTACCCGAAGAAACCACAATCTTTCTGACAGGTAGCAGCACACTCACTTAAAGAATGGGCATCGTGTTGTCCTACAAGTTCCTCATTGGACATCTTGTTATCGAGTTCCAGTTCCGCGATATATCTCAAGGAAGAGATGGTAGCATGAGAAACTGTAAATAGAGAGACCATTAAACAAACAATACGAAGACCGCTCATACTGAAGTCTCTATGTGTATTTAGAGAGTTTCTGTAGGAGTTTACAATTAATTCGTCAACAGTCGAGTTTAAATAACGAATAATTTTCGATTCCTGAAAAACGATTGGCCTGTTATTATGTACTTATTTTCTCTGAAGTATTGAATTTGTTTAATTCCTGGAATTTATTTAGTTGCCGTTTTATTTCCATGTAACCAATAATTTGAATCTTATTTTATTGCGTATTTCATATTTTCCATGTAAAGGTAATGTTTTAATTTCAAAAGAAGTGCTCGAAATCCATAATCTTTTCTTTTAATCTTTAGGCAGATAATATTAATTTATCAAAGTATGGCAAGTTCTAATTTTACTTAAATGGTTTTGACAATGTCAGTTCTTCCTATTCCTGGATAAACTTTAGGCAAAATAAAACCATAAGGATGTCAATGTAATAAAAAAAATACGTGGACATTTTACCAAAGTGTCACACTAGAAAAAAGTAATTAAATATTTTATATGATGCGCTAACGATTTTTTTATTCCATTTTCTATGGAAAAATGGACAGAATAAGATTATTCCTCTACAACTGAGCTCGAAGAACCCTCCAGGATATCAAAAATATTTGACGAAAAGGGATGTACTCATTATCTAAAACAATTGCGTCCCTGGAAATTTTATGTTGATAACAAATTGTTTCTTTCAAAAAGAGATAATATAGCTCATCCAAATAACCTGCTAAATTTCTTATTCAAAATTTACACTCTACCAATCTCAAATAAGTTTCCGTTTTTCCAAAAAATTGACTTCTTATACATGACTATGATCCCTGTTTTCTGTTAAAAGCGTGTTTTCGAAACGTTTGATAAAATTTTAATAATTAAAAATATATAAAGATGATATCCTTCAATATGTATTCTATATAATTGTCTGTCACAAAGTGCGCTTCATGTCAATTCAGTTTTAGCAAACATACTTTTAATTACTACTCTTTCCATCCCGCTGTAACTGCTTTATCCCATGAAAGCTTACGCAGCACAGTTAAGGCAACACATGAAAAAAATATTGTAATGAGGTCATAATGAGGTCTGACGTCATGACAGTTACTCCGTCCTGGTTGATCCATATAAGGAAATAGAGCTCAAATAATTATTTACCGATGGTTGCAAGAATTTGTAATAAACAGCAATATTTTCATGTTTAAATAGAAAATAATTAGTTATTTTCTCGTATATAAAATACATGTTTTTAAAATAATTCTCTTTTAATGTGTAGTTTGGCTGCATTCAGCTCCAGCCAAGCGCTTGCACTCGTTGACACGGAATGGTGTATACATCTAAAAACGTGTCGACATCAGCTGACATTTGCAGTGGATTTACATGCATCAACCAGTCAATCTTTAAAGAAAATAGGGATAAAATAAGAAACTAGGCATTGTTTACCCCTTTTACGATAATATGAGGACAACATTTCGGAAAATAATGGAAAACTCTTTAACTGAGATGATCTGCAGCAGCTCCGTAGATCCATCACTGTAATTTCAGGTCAGGTATGTATGCGCATGTAGGTACATGTGTAGATCTACAATATGTACACATGCTTTTGTTAACATCAAAAAAAAAAAACCCGAGTGTGTGCATGTTCATTTAGATGTATTATTACAGTCAGTGAAAAACTGTAATGCAGTATGTAACCCCCATCCCCATACTAAGTTGCACACTTTTTAGAACTATTGAAATTTAATTTCACTAAATATATAATTAGTTCTTTGAGACTATATGTGTAGCAATGGAAGTCATCAGTAACAGAAATTTAAACTAAGGTAAATTAAATAAGATGTTTTTATTGTTTCCATCAATGTTTCACTAGGCCTAAACAAGTAATTAATTATGTCTCTTGACATACAAACATGCTACACAATTTAAAAAAAATATTAGTGTCATTATGTTGAAAACTTAGAACATCCTTTTCAGATCTATGGTTGTAGTTTCCTAGAATTTCTAAATTAATGAAAAAAATGTTCATTTTTTGTTTAGATTACATGTACATTAAAACTATTTATATATATAATACTTTTATCATTGTAGCTGTCAAGAGTTTCAGGCTTAAAAAATAAATGTATAAATAAACAAGATGTATTTGTGAAACACTGATGCCCCCGTATTGCAACAAAACAAAGATTAAGCTGTTCTTAAATGCAAATTCAATTAATTGGTACCAAAAGTAGGTTATTCTCACTGGAAAACAATTGTGAAATTGAAAATAAGCCAAGTTGAAGTTTTTTTTTAATAAGTACAAAAATCTCCAAGGTCAAGGTCAAAAGGTCAATGTAATAAGTATCAAATGAGATGTCTTGCAACAAAGAATACTTATGTATAGATGAAAGCGAGGGATGTGCGATTTTATCGGTTTATCGGTATATCGCGATTTTTTTAGTGTGATACGTATCGTGATACGGAGACCTAAATACCGGTTTTTAGGTACATATCATAAAGTCCAGAAAGTATAAAAAATGTTGTAAAAAGTGAAAAGAACGGCATCTTACTGTCCAAACATAATTGAATTTATATGCATAAAAATTTCAAGAACGTAAAATTTTGTTTTCCTAGCAAATTTTTTTTAGAAAAATAAGGACTTTTCATATAATATCATTGTAAAAACTGCTTTTAAAAATATCATGATATTATCATTATATTGTGGGAAAAAAAATCCTGATATATCACGATACGAAATTTTTGGCGATACCCATCCCTAAATTAAAAGCCCTAGCCCTAACCGTTCAGAAGTTACGGTCAACGTTCAATTTTTTTTTAAAAAGTAGGTCAAACTCCAAGGTTAAAGGGTCAAAGTTCTTGTTATCAAATGAAAGGTCTTGTCATAAGAATCAAATATGTAAAGTATGAAAGCACTAGCCCCAACTCTTTAAAAATTATGGTCAAAGTTTGCTTTTTTTAAAGTAGGTCAATACCAAAGGTCAAGGTCAAATAGTCCAAGTTCTTGGCATCCAATGAAGGGTCTTCTCACAAGGATTACATATATGAAGTATGAAAGCCCTATCCCTTATCGTTCAAAAGTTATGGCCAAGGTTAAAGTTTTTTCACAAGTATAGAAATCTAGAAGGTCAAGGTCAAAGGGTCAAGGTTGTTGGTATCCAATGAAAAGTCTTTTAACAAACAAACATTGCATATGTGAAGGATAAATGTCCTGGTATCTACAGTGGCTGGAACGTTATTGTTGACAACTCACACGAAAGATCACGTTACACGAACGATTCCGCACGATTAACGCACGATTAAACCTGTTACACGAACGATCTTTCACGTTCACGATTCTACACGTTACACGATCTTGCACGATTGTTAACGCAAACGCACGTTTCTTCACTCAAAATAGTTCAAAATATTTAGGAATTAATATTTTCAAAACGAAATATAGCTTAATGCTTATTTAAGATTTCAAAGAATTATTAATATTATTTCAAAGACTTTGAAAAAAAAAACATGGAAAATTATATTTCTGTAACTAAATATATACAAGACTTAATATTTCAGAATAAAAATAATTTATTTATTTCTAAAGTACTTCTCCGATCAAAGAAAACGGATTTTGTTCGTTCTATTAGACGATGTACATGTCTGTGGGTCGTATAGTTTGATTGAATTGGATATCATGATATGCAGAAAGGGGGATACAATTCAACAAAAATGGCAGCATTGAATGACTTAAATTATATAAAAAATTTTATCCTTATGTTTCCATTTATTCAATGCCTGATAAATTTGCTAATTATTCAACTTTTTTATTTGCAGAAATTAAAAATTAATTAGTTACAAATAAGCTCAAGAGATAAACACAGATAATCGTGTTTATCTCCGTGTGCATGTATATTTGTCGACTAACTACATGTAGCTATGTAAGCATTGAGAAATGCTTATTTCTTTGTAAAAGAATATTTATTTTCAATGAATTGATTTCAAGATTATCTTGACCACTATAAGAAGTAAATAATAATTAAATCAGATTTTTCAGAAAGGCGTAGGAGATTAAAGTACGGCTTATCACAATATTGATCGCGTTATTGGACGAGAACTTAATATTGTACGACTTACTATATTGCTTGTTTACGAGCGATAATTAGTTCGTTCTGCATTCTATTATCTAAATTGCGCTTTTTCATTTTATTTTGATTTTATTTAATTAATTAAGAAAAACAAACAAGGGAAATGCTTATTTTAGAAATAACATTCCGATAAAAACTTACAAAACGAAATTTACACGATTCTAAACGCACGATCTCGCACGATTAAAAACGCACACGATTGAGTTTGATACACGAACGATCTTTCACGTTAAACGAACGATCACTCACGATACACGAACGATTCTACACGATTGGTTTGTCAACAATAACGTTCCAGCCACTGTACTGTTCAAAAGATTTGACCAAAGTAAAAGTTTAAAATTTTCACGTAAAAGTGGGTCAAACTCCAAGGCTAAGGTCAGAAGGTCAAATTTGGTTGAACCCAAAGAAAAGTCTTGTCAAAAGGAATACACTTATGAAAAATGAAAGTCATAGCTTCACTAGATCAAAAGATATGGGCAAGGTTAAAGGTTTTGCGGACACACAGACAGAGACAGAGAGACAGACAGAGAGACAGACAGACGGACACGACAAAAACTATATAATCCCTGAAACCTCGTTTACGGGGGCATTAAAATGCATCAATTTCTTCATAGTTTTTTTTAAATATTCTGTCAATAATGTTAGAGGTTTCATATTCCAATAAAAGTTTCGAACACACCTTTTTTTCTATTTATATGAATTACATAAATTCACTACAGTATACAATGTAGCATGATTAATTTTGTTTTTTCAAAATGCAATGGCATTTTATTCTACAATGTATCTTCAGTAATCCCATAGCATACTACTGCATGTATAT